ATGAGCGGTAGGTAACGCTCCCAGCCATCCCCGAAGTCAATCGCACAAGCATGCATCATATCCTCTAGGATCTTGATAACTCTCTCTAACTCACCATCCGTCTGTGGGTGAAAATCCATATTAAAATGAAGATCAGAGCCTGAAGCTTTCTACAGGCTTTTCTAGAACTGAAATGTGAATCGTGGGTCACGAGATGAAATGATGGATGAAGGAACTCCATGTAACCGGATGATCTCACGGATGTACAACTTTGCCACCCGCTGTAATGAGAAATCTCGTCGTATTGGGAGGAAATGTGCGGAATTAGTCAAACGGTCCACGATGGCCCAAACTGTGTCTTGCTTGTGAGGCAACAATGGCATCCCCACAACGAAATCCATAGTGATACGATCCCATTTCCACTCGGGAATGGTAATATGCTGAAGTAGCCCGCTGAGAACCTGATGCTCAGCCTTAACCTGTTGACATGTCAAACATCGTGATGCGAACTCCATGATTCCCCTCTTCATTGCGGGCCACCAATAATGCTTCCGAAGATCTTGGAACATCTTATTACTACCTGGGTTCATGGTGTACACGGTCCCATGAGCTTCGTGAAGAAGGTGCTCCCTTATCTTATTGAAATAAATCATGAGAATAAATAATATGAATTAAATGTGAGAACCTTTTTGAATAAAGGTCAATTAAATAAATTTTGACTCTGTCAAAGTCAAACAACAAAAAATAAGGTGTCAGAAAAAAAAGTATTATAAATAAATATAAAAATGGTATCGTTGGATAGAGTTTGACTGTCTGATTGCAAGGATGAAAACAAATTTCAATTCAGAAAAAATTGAACCAAAAAGTGTACCCCTGGAACAAAATTAGTCCCAATCAGGGGAGACGTGTACAACGGAGCCTCCGACTTCACTAACGCGCATTAAGGATTCGCAGTTCACACAACATTGTCATCTTCTCCAAACTATCCCTTTAAAAGGAGACCCGATCCTTCTCATTTCTTCACCATTGTCTCTACTTCTTTTATTTTATTCTTGAGATTGTGAGGAGTGCAGTTGTGTTGTCCAAAGGTTGTGAGGTCACTGAAGTCGATAGTAATCATCGTCCGTTTTAGTCAAAGGTAAGCCCTTTGATATATCTAGTGATTAGAATGTTCATATAGATCGTTTTCATGTTCATAAACGGTTGTATGGTTGAGTTTTGTGTTTGACATGTTTGAAGAACCAAGAATCATAAACCTTGAATTTGTTATTAAAACTTCAAACTAATGATGCCAAAATTATCTATGAACCTTGGAGAACGTTTCTATATAGTCTAATTGACATTTGATAGCTTAAAATGATGTTTTTCGAAGTTGGACCTAGGTAGAAGATGAAGTACTGCATATGGGGGCAAACCTGGCGCAATAACAGTACCTACCTACTGCCGGCACGATAGGGGGTAATGTCCGGTGCCAGTCTCTGAAATTTAAACGGTAGCTAGTTACCATCGAAATGGTACAAATTGTACCATTTAGTTCCATATTTCCAACCAGTAACGGTAATGGAAAAGGTCGACCATCCGACGGTAACGGTCGACCATTCCAAACATTTTCCATGATGTAAAAATCTGATTTGAAGCTATAAAATTCTATTTTTGACACCATTAAACTATGATCAATATGAAAATGATTTTTGGAAATAAAAATGAGGTTTTGATCAATCCAAAAACCTTATAATATGCATGACGGTAAGCTAAGGTGTTAACACTCAATGCTAGGCCGCTACTTGTTATTGAATATTATGATTATTACTACCTCCGTCCCAGAGTATTTGTCCAGTTTGACTTTTTCGAGTCAAACTGGACAAACTTTGAACTCTAATTACTCTCAATTTCTATTAAATATTAGCATAATGAAATACAATTTTGAAAGTTCTCAATACGATAAATCCAATAGAGTCATTTTTATATTTAAATACTTTACAGTTTTTATTTAATTGATGCTCAAGGTTTGTCCAGTTTGACTCAAAAAAATCAAACTGGACAAATACTCTAGGACGGAGGGAGTATTATTTTTGATTATGTTGATTAAACCTTGATGAATATTCTAATAAAAATGATAATTATGAATGACTGAACCATGATTAAAAATGAACTATTGATGATTATGAAAATGATGTGTATTATTCAGGGTATCTAGAAAAACTCTAACATATACCTGTATGACCAATTTAGTTAATTGATATTGATTTTTAAGGGTATCTAGAAGAAGTCTAAGATATACCATGTGACCAATTTAGTTAGGCCTTGCGGGTATGATGCCTGGTGGTCAAGGTTAAAATGTATGTACGAGATCCACAAACCAAACTTGAGTACCTACTCGTTTGGGGGTACCACCCAACCCTAGCAGTCTGTTGTTCGGTTCCTTGTGTACATTAGGCTAAGAATAGTTTAAGAGTAGGAAAACCTTTTTTAAAAAAGTAACGTAAACTAGATTAGCTTAAGAGTTGGTAATTAGTACCTTAAACTAGAAAATAGTTTAAGAGTTGGTAAATAATATGAGTTCTGCCTTAAACTAGGAATAGTTTAAGAGTTGGTTAAAAATATTGTCTTAGACTAAGAATAGTTTAAATGTTTGTTATCAATACGAATTTGGCCTTAGATTAAGAATAATTTAAGAGCATTGTTGAAATAGTGAATATTGAATATCTGAATTGAATAACAAAATATTGATATTAAATGATCTAATATGAACTGAACATTACCAATATCATGAATATTGAATATTTGAATTGAATATCATGTGCATCATATCAAATGATTTGATTATGAATTGAGATTCAATTTTTGCAGATGTTCGATGCATTAGATATTCTTACTCAGCTTCACTGCTAAGAGTGTAGTAAGTTTTATTTGCTACATGCAAGTAAATAAAAAGAATGATGACATGATCCTAGAGGCAGACGGAGGCGAACTTGTCGAGATGGATGTGATGGATTTTGAACTGTTATTTCAAAAGACATAAGTTAATTATGTTTTATGATTGTGATTTGTTAAGCTTCCATAACATTGAAAACTCTGTACTGTTTTTGTTATGAATAATATTATTGTGATCAATAAAAGTGTTTGAAATGTTTTAAATTTTACAATTACCAAGTTTATACTTTAGTCCAAAAAAGGATGCAGACCTGGATGGATTAGAGTGTTACAGTACCGCCTGGCGGTACTCTGCTACCGCCATAAGCAAATTTCCTCTCTCGGACTCTGTGTTCGGATGGGCGGGGGTACCGGACCGACGGTACTAGGCTCCTGCCCGCCGGTCCCAGATACTGTGTCAGACCCCCAACCGCCCTTTCTCTTGTTTGTTTGTCCCGATTCAAATCCCAGATTGATTTCAAGGTCTTGTGTGTTGCATGACAGTAAGTGGAAGGTGTTTACACCCGACACTAGGCCGCTAATTATATTAAATGATTGATCATCTAACTATTGTTGTTCTCTTATTATATCTTAAATATAATCTTGTTATGCCTTGAACAAATAAACTAAACTGAGTTGTTGATAAGCTTAGACGTAATTATGTAAATGGAGATAATGACATAGGTTATCTAGAAAAACTCTAGCACTATCTTGTGAGAATTAAGATTATAAGTTGACAATATGGTCTAGAGCCTTGTGGACTTAGTGTCTAGTGGCATTCAGATAAAGATGTACATGCATGGAATCTGGGATCTGATCCGTAGGATTGGAGGTTCCACCCTACCAGCTAGGTATCGGGTTGACCAGAATTATGGCCGTAAGTAGTGGTTGTGATGTCATAGAGTAGAATTGAGTCATGGCCGTAGATAGTGGCTATATATAAGTCCTAAGATGAAATTGCGGATAATGAAGAATTTACCTTAGCCTAGAATAGGTTATGAGCTAGTGTTTGAGATGAGTAATTGTAATAACTTAAATACTGAGCTGATAACATATGCAGGTGAAAACTAAGGTAAGTAACATGAAGTATGATTGTAATAACATAGTTGATATTATTTGATGATTGTTATGTTATGTTATTAATGTTGTATTTGTGTGCGGATATTGTATGAAATTTTGAGCTAGTGAGTTCATCTATAGGCGTAGTCAAACGTTAAATATATCTCACTTAGCAATAATGCTGAGCATCTAGCCCTTTTCCTCTTTGCTACACGAAGATAACAGTAATGACGAATAAGGAAAGAATCCTGGAGAGCAACGAAGACGGGGAGATGGATGGATGATAGATGAGGAGTTATACAGTTTAATAATATATTTGAATTAATCATGTTTTTGGGCAAGAACCCAAAGTTGTGTTTGAATTAAGTACTTAAAGTTTCCGCACCGTTTTATAATACTCTAATGGATTTATAAATATTGTTTTTGAATGAATGTTTTAAACTGTTTTGAAAATTATTGTTTTTGAATGCCAATCCGGTAACAACTCGATCCGCTGGTCCGTGTATTCGGGTCACGCAGGTCGGGGTGTTACAGGAAGAGAGCACAGAGATTGAAAAAACATAGGTCGCACGATGAAGGAAGACAAGTTTTTGGGAAGGTTTTTGTTTAGTCTCTTCCGACATCTTTTCGCTCTTTCTAGTTTTTTTATTTAAATTTAAACATGAAATGACGTTAATGGTTCGTTACTTGGCCTTTTTTTCATTTTTTAAGAAGCGCGTCACACTTACAGGGTAGTTCGCCAAATACATTTTGATAAAAACTTCATTCTTTGATCATATATACCATATAACCGGTTGTACGGTATTTCCTGCATATCCGTGGCGAGTACTTAATTACGTGTAATTTTCAAGTAATTTATGAATACTCTTTTTCGAACAACTAGATACTCATTTTCAAGTACTTTAAACACTCATTTTTCTAAAACTCATTTATGCTTGAAAGTAAACATTTTGTTACTCGAAAATAAATATTTTATTACTTTAAAATGAATATTCAGTTATTAAAAAAATGGTATCCATACTGAAAGAGATACTCACTATGATCTATCCTTCGCCCAGGCAGCCACAGTTTCATCAATTTTCCCTCCCAAATGCAGCAATCAAATGTGATCTCCCTCTTCCCTAACCTAATGCCCCAGATTCCAACCCCTCTCTACCATTCGGAAACAATCTGAGGGGATGACGATTGAGATGCTGAAAGGATTGCCGTTCTCGGTGGACACATGGTCGCCTAATTCGAACCGGAAGAGGCACCATTTCCTCACCCACGCCCACAAAGACCACACTCAAGGGATCTGCGCTTACGCCTCTTCTCCAATCTACTGCACCCTTATCACCCAGTCCCTTGTCCTTCAACATTACGATCAGGTCTCTCTAATTCCATTCTTCTTCTTCTTCATCTCTTTGGTTAAGTACTTGCTTTGATTCTGTGTTATTCATCCCTCTACAGCTTGACAGGTCAATCTTTGTGAGAATAGAGGTTGGGCAGAGTTTGGAGATTGAGGATCCCAATGGTGGATTCACCGTCACCGCCTTTGATGCCAATCACTGTCCTGGTTAGGGAGTCCTATAATTAATTTGGCCACTTACACGAACGTCTTTATTGGTTCTTGAATGTGTTTAATGTCTTAAGTTTGGGAGCTGTGTTCGTACTGCTTAAAAGTTCATATCTTTGTCTTAGTTTCCTTGCTCGGTTCTTCAATTTTGTTTCATTGAACTATTTTTTGTTTTTTTTTTGAATCTTCAGGTGCTGTTATGTTATTGTTTGAAGGCAAATTTGGCAACATTTTGCATACTGGAGATTGCAGACTTACTATTGAGTGTTTGAGAAGTCTGCCCGAGAAGTATGTAGTGAAGAAAGGAAGACAGCCTAGGTGTCCGCTCGATTGTGTTTTCCTGGATTGCACTTTTGGCAAGTTTTCATTGAGAATGCCCACTAAGCAATCAGCAATCCAGCAGGTATAATTTTGTTCTTGTTCCATTAGAGGCTCCTATCCTTCTTGATCTTCTTTTGTCTTCGTTTTCCATTCCTGACCAATTTTCTGTTGGATTCTTATAATAACTAGTCATGAATAGGCCAATTGCTTTGAATTTGTGTTCTCCTTGCATTTGTTACAAGTTCCTGTCATGCTTTTTTTTTTTGAAATTTACTTTTCGTCTGCAAACTCCAATTTTACCTTAAAAAACAGGTGATCAATTGTATATGGAAGCATCCTGATGCCCCAACCGTGTATTTGACTTGCGATCTTCTTGGACACGAGGAAATCCTTGTGAGTGCATCCAGAACATTTGGCAGTAAGATATATATTGATAAAGCAAAAATCCCACAATGTCTCCAATCTATGGAACTCTTGGTGCCTGAAATTCTCTCTCAAGACCCAACGTCTCGTTTCCAATTGTTTGATGGATTCCATGGGCTGTATGATAGAGCAGAAGCCAAGATTGCAGAAGCTCGGGCTAATCTCCAACACGAACCTCTTATAATCCGTGCTTCATCACAGTGGTATGCATGTGGCGACGAAGGGTGTTCACAAATGGAAAAACAGAAAAAGGAAAGATTCGATCAAGCAGTGAGAGATATGCACGGAGTCTGGCATGTCTGTTATTCAATACACTCTTCCAGGGAAGAACTGGAGTGGGCCCTGCAAAATCTTGCACCCAGATGGGTTGTGTCAACAACACCCTGTTGCAGGGCTATGGAACTGGATTACCTGAAGAAGCATTGCTTTAACCGGAAGCGTGACATGGACGATCCATTTTTGAAACTATTGGAGATTGATGTGAGCGCGTCATCTCAAGGCATGCTGGAAGAAGCTTCCAGCCCATCTGGAGTCACTTCTGATGGTAATATTGAGATCTTGACCCAGCTGGCAGTATCGCCAAGTCGGCAGTTGCAGCAGCATATTTCTGCTCCAAGGAAGAAGCCACCCGTTACATTATTTGGTCGAGCTAGACACGGGGTTGTAGGTCCCGCTTTCACCATTGAAGTAAAAAAAGAATGTGTATTTATGAATAGTATTACTGAGGGGGGTGGCAAGAATGAGTTGGAGTGCTCTAAATATTCTATGACAGATTTAAACAAATCCGAAGAATCTAATGGATCCTCAGAGATTGTTACCAAGGAGGAGGAAAAAGAGAGTTGTTTGGATGAAAAACAAGGTTCAAATGTGTTTGAACCGGAATGCAAGTCAACAGATGATATAAAAGAGCATCATGAAAGAAGTGTTCATTCTGCCGTACCAAACGGATCCTCAAACAATTTTAGTGCAAGCATGAGAAGGTTTTACCGGTCCATGAATGCATCAGTGCCTCAGCCTCTTCCATCACTTGTAGAACTTATGGCTGCTAATAGAAAACGTGCAAAAAGGTTGCTGTGCCTGTGAGTTATACGTTTAGATTCTCTCTTGTGGTTCGTGCCTGCTGCTGTCTTTAATCTTCCCATATGTGCCAGCATGATGTCAACTTGGTTCTTTCTCTGCCCTATTCTTTTTCCATTATTGGAATTGAAGCCCTTTTCCGCCCTATCCTTTTTTCATTATCAAATTTGAACTCCTTTAAGGTACTCAATGGAAATGCACAACAAGCTCAGACGGCATGTATTTTCTTATGAGTAGCTTAACCATTGTTGCAGACCAAGTTTTTGGCTGGAGTACTGGACCAATACGACATCGTATTACAAATGCTCCTCTTTTTTAATGCAAAAATATGTTTTTACGCTTGCAGTATTTATTTCGGGCTGTTAAAGATTGTAAATGTATAACTATTCTTGAATTCCATTTCCTTAGACTCTGTTGAAACAATAGACTTGGGCCCAATTCAACCCCAAAAGTTAACTCAAGAGGTTGAGGTACCCAAGCTATTAAATAGCAGCACAATATAAGGCTGCATAGCCGATGTGGGATGAACAAGTCAACACGCCCCCCTCACACGAGGCGCAGATTACTGCGGGCGCGGTCCCAACATCAATGGCCTAGCTCCGATACCAAGTTGAAACAATAGACTTGGGCCCAATTCAACCCCAAAAGTTAACTCAAGAGGTTGAGGTACCCAAGCTATTAAATAGCAGCACAATATAAGGCTGCATAGCCGATGTGGGATGAACAAGTCAACAGACTCCCATAAATGATATGCTTTTTTTCTCCTCTTTTGAGACTATTGCTAGTTTCTGGTGTCTCGAAGTGCTCTATAGTTATAAAAAAACGTGATTTTTGAGAGCATTTGGCAATTACGAAAAGGTGCTTTGTAGTTAAAAAATGTGATTTTTGAAAGAAAACATCGTGATTCGAAAAACATAGCTGCGAAGTTTTTTTAAAAAAAAAATCTCTACTCATTTTTTGTTCAAAGTTAAGAAGAAAACACACATCAACTTCACGCCTTCAAGGTCATATTAACTCACTGGAATTCAACAGTGTTTAGACCTTATGTGTGCAAGCCTTTGGTCTGAGTTAGCTAAGGAGATTCCACAGCTTTGACAATTACTTCCTCTCCCAAAATAAGATTCATGTATTCTACATGCAAATACTTAGGACTTATTCTGTTCACCACATATGATGGAATAAGTTCTGATCTTATCTGATTGTAGTTTTATTTAAAGTTGCTTTATTTGATCTGATTGATTCCCAGGAAAATACTCCCTCCGACCCAAGAAGATTGCCACAATTTTACTTTTTTGGTCAAACTATGAAACCCTTTGATCACGAATTAAATATTGTACAAATTTGATATTTTAAAACTATATTTTAAAATAAACTCAATTTTACTAAATTTACATTATAACTCAATAAACTTTTTTCATAATTTGCGGTGAAAGGGTGCTATTGTTTGATCAAAAAAGTTAAAATGTGACAATCTTTTAGAGACGAATAGAATAAGTAATAAGTAACGAGAATAAATTGAAGAGAACAAGCTTTTAGCCTCTACGTGTTCTTCACTGTTCACCTCTACTCCATGATACTAAGGTTTAGATTCCCTTTAGTTAAAAGGAATTAATCATAGATTACCTGAATTATCATGATTCATGATTTCCCTATTTTTATTACTTATTTAATAAAATAGTAATTTAATGTCACTTCTTCTTTTATAAGCTTTTGATGTAATTCTTTTTTAATGTAAATTTTGTTTTTAATTTCACTCCAGTTCTTAAATGAATTTTATTAAAAATAACTTCGATGTAAGTTAAAACAGACAATTTAAATTGAGCACGAAAGAGTAATATTCCAATATTTTATAGTACTCCGTATTATTTTAAGACTACTTATAATAACAAGAAATTAAAATATGAAGATGATTGGGGAAGAGATAATATTTATGACAACCACAAAAAATAAAAGGAAATGTATTTATAGAGACGGACCAATGGGAGTGAGGGGAAATCCCCACCTCATCCAAAATCTTGACTATACTCATCACCCCCTCTTTCCCAACTCATCCAAGGATTTGATCCAAACACTAAGATCATATTTTCTCCATCAATCTAATTTGATCATCAGTTTTAATTTTCCAGTCTTTTTCTAAAAAATAATCCCATTATATTCCTTCTTCAAACACCAATAATGGCTGCCGTGAACTCCAGTGTGCTGGCATGCAGCAGCAGCTATGCCGCCATGTCATCTCAGTTCAATACAAGGAATGGCTCATCATCAATGGCAACTCCAATTTCAACTTCTCCCAAACTGCCCCCCACAGTCAAGTGTGAGAAACAAGAAGCAAAACCTATTTGTGCCGAAATGGAGAAGGGCAGAAGAGCTGCCCTTCTTGCCCTTGCATCTGCCCTATTTGCCTCCACCTCTTCTGCAAATGCCGGAATCATGGAGGACTATCTTGAAAAAAGCAAAACCAACAAGGTTATTGCTAATCAGACCTCCTTCTTCTGCAAAGTTTAAACTTTTTCAGATAAATCTAATAAAAGTATCCTTGTATCAATAACCTAATAATATGAATTTTATTTACTTAATAGTCAAAGGTTATTAATTTTGACTGCATTAGTTTTATTATTTAGTCTGCTGTGTCCCAACTATATATAGGAATTGAATGACAAGAAGAGACTGGCCACAAGTGGTGCTAACTTTGCCAGAGCCTACACAGTTCAGTTTGGAACATGCAAGTTTCCTGAAAACTTCACTGGCTGCCAAGACCTTGCCAAACAAAAGGTCTTTATTTTATTTCGAACCCCTTTGATCATTTTTCTTCTTCTAAGGAAGAAGAACGACTTTCATCCCACATTTGCTTGACAAGAAGTAACTCAGAATGTGGTCTTTGTACATATGCGTAACACACATTTTAATGATTTGAATTGCAGAGAGTGCCATTCATCAGCGACGACTTGGAATTGGAGTGCGAAGGTAAGGATAAATACAAATGCAATTCCAATGTTTTCTGGAAATGGTGAAGTGTGTAATCCTCTCAGCATTCCTAGAGAAGCATGCATTTACATACCATTTCAATTCGGAATGAACATGTTTTTTTCTATTCCTTAATGTAAATCACACAATCTATGTTTCGTGAGATACTTTCAGACACATTTCCGATGCATATAATTGTTAGTACTTACCAATCTAATGAACTTAAGCACATGGAACTGTAGAGTTATCTCTCTTCAACTGAGGACAAGGTGAAGGGAAAACGTCATGACTGGCACCCGATATATATTCACAGTTCCATGTAATAGCTGATGCGGCAAGGCCAAAGATGCTAACATTTTTAATGCATATGTCCTCAAACGGTACTTCCTTTATGCCCTCCAGCAGAGGTGCCCTTCTCGTTTCCAAACTCACGACATTGCTGACTGATATGCCCTTCACTACTGGTAGAGCTTTAGGGTCCCACCCTTCGTCGGGGTGGTCATTGGCGCCTCTGCTGAATCTTAAGGGAATCTTGACTCTTTCCATTGTGATGTTGTGAATGGTGATGTTTCGGATGTACCCTCCTCTCCCTTTGTCAGTCTTGATCCGAACCCCAGCTGCCGAATCTCTGATATACAGGTCCTTAATGACAACATTTGAGACACCCCCAGACATCTCACTCCCAATCCCAACCCCAGAACATGTTGGGGTTGTGCCCGAAACTCTTTGAATTATGACATTTGAGCTTGGCCGGGCAGTTTTCATCCCGTATTGGTCCCAACCACTCTTCACCGCCACGAGATCATCACCACTCTCAATGTAACAATCTTCAATGCAGACATTCGTGCTTGAATCTGCCGAACGCATCAACACACCACTTAGGTTGAGTTTGTTCTTGATAGAGACATACAAGTTTAAAAGGTGTTGGGTTAGATAAGGTAATTTAGTGTGTTCAATCTTGTGTATTATGACCTAGTTGACTGACTTATGGATGTGACATACCTGCATCAATGCCATCTGTGTTCGGGGCGTTGAGAGGAGCCAAGATTGTCACGTCTCGGATCACAACATCACTGAATCAGAAACCACGAAAGGTCAGGTATAGTTTTTGTTTAGAGAGAGAGAAAGAGAGAGAGAGAGAGAGAGAGGACCTGCAATAAACAGGATGAAGATTCCAAAAAGGAGAGTTGAGGAAAGTGAGGTTGGAGATGAGAATGTTGTGTGAGTTGAGGAGTTCAACAAGGTGGCCTCTGGTGTGTTTCAGTGTCCTGTTCCACCAAAGCTCCCACCACATCTTCCCTTGCCCATCAATTCTCCCATTTTCCCCTGAAAGTACACTGAACTTTATTCATCAGAAACTTAATTCCATTTTCACCAAAGGTCTTTCATTTCTTCATTGTTTTCTTTTGTTCAAAAACTTCCTTTTTTTTTCTTTCCTAATAACTTTTCGGGTTATAAATGGACCTACTCCTAGAGTTCAGGTAAAAATGTCAAGTAAAGATTGGGAAGTACTATTATTCTCAACCACATAATTTTGTATTTTCTTAAATTCCATGAAAAGTAAATAAGAACTTGATTTCAATCAAGTTGAAGATAATATGTGTAAAGGCAGAAGCAATATATAAAATGTATGTACCTGTAATCACCACATTAGAAAGAGCATTTCCATGAATGAGACTAATATGTCTCCCTCCCAATCTTTCTCTTCCTCTTCCATAAGATGGCAATGGCTCGATGATAGGCCACTCTTCTGGGTTCTACTTTTCAATTTACATTATTAAAAAAACGAAAACAAATTCCATGAAGCAATCACAAATAGAACCAAACCGTTTAGCCTTCAAATTGGGGGCAATGAGGATAATATACCCGTTTATCTTCCGATATTAAAAAAAACTAATCTGTATATTTGTAGATAATGAGAAGAAAAAAGATTTCATGCTTGGCTTGATTAAGAAAAACAAAAGTATATGGACAACAATAACTACTCGTATTTCATAAGTAGGAAGTAATTTTTTTTTTGGGACGAACAAAAATTAAAATATGAAATCTTTTTATGAGACAGAAAAGTATAATCATTTTGTTATATATTTATTTTGTCAACCATGTTAGGGGTACACCAAAGAGCGTGTCTTAAATTGTACACCAAAACTATATACTAAGATTTTGATAATTGTACAAGCACAAAATACTAGTGCAATAAAAAAAAATTGTACTAGCATTTAGTATAAGTGTGAGCCAACACACTAGCATGCACAAAATGAATGTGCACAATTGTAGTGTATAATTTAATTTGGGTACAACTTTTAGGGTACAAGTAGCTTAACTTTTATTTTGTTGTATAATTATTCTATCATGTTATCTAAAGTTATATGGAATAGTTTCAGAAAATTACTTTGGGGTATCCTCGATTTACTGGTAAGAACATCGAGGTCCTACATTATTTAAAGCATACTCTATATGTCCTTAAAATTCATGGTAATGTATTCTAAGCGTACATTCTGTCTATTTGGTCATTAGCATTGGAATTTCTGTTGCTTTGATCAATCAAACACCAAAAATGTACTCAGGTCAAAGCTTCCATTAAGGTTGGAATCTTCTTATTTTACTATAAATAAAATAATTATTTTAAACAGAGAATAAATAAAATAATGGGTGTTGTTAAAGAGTACCTATATCATACATCTAGATGTTCGGTCTTTTTTGTACATTCTTATAATTACTCATTTTCGAGTAACTGAATACTTAATTTTGAGTAACAGAATGCTCATTTTCAAGTAGCAGAAAACTCATTTTCGAATAATTGAATACTCATTTTCAAACATAACTGAATTTTAGAAAAATTAGTACCAATTACTTGAAAATGAGTATTCACATTATCGACAATGAGCATTTAATGATTTGTAAATGAGTACTCGTTGCGGATGTACGGGAAACACCGTATAATTGGTTATACAATTTATATTGCGGTTGTTAAATCGGCTCCCCTTTTTGCTAAATTGACTCTTTGTATCCTCAAGAGGGTTTGTTCGATCCAGAATTTATAAGATTTTTTTGGATTTTAAAGGTTAGTATGTATTCAATTGAAATTTTAAAAAATCATTTAAAATCTTAGAGTATTAAATTTAGATTTTAAAAATTCATTTAAAATATGAAGGTTTAGATTTTAAAGTGTGTGTTAAAATCTAATGGTATAAAATAATATATAGATTTTGAAAGATTTTTATTATATTTGGATTTTAATGATTTATGAGGTTATTTTTCTAAAGAAAATTCATTTTACAAATCTATGACAACATCTAAAGATTTTAACTGATTTGGCTGTCTGAAGCATGGAATAGCCGATGAAATTTGGGGATCCGGATGTGCGCAAGGATAGAAAAGAGCCGGCTGATTTGCAATCGGTGAGGGACAGAAGGAGACAAAAATGGAAACAGACCAGAAACGCATGGGGACGAAGGACAAAGGTTGACGCACCGGAGGAGACGGTGGACGGGGATGGAGATGGGGAAGAAGAAGAAGAAGAACAAAGGGGAAATTGAATAAAGAGGAGAAAGAAGAAGAAAAAGAATGAATGGGGGGACGAGGAGAAAGAAAAATAAGAAAGAAAGAAGAAAAAAATGAGAAGAGGAGAAAGAAAAAGAAAGAAAGAAGGAAAAAGGAGAAGACGAAGGGACATGAGAGAGGAGGAAGAAAAGCAATTGGAGCACGGCTAAGAAATCATGGATAATAAACAATAATACAAAATCCTATTGAAAGTACATTAAAATTTATCTAATTCTGCGTAGACTTAAAATAATTTTTTGATTTTATATAATTTATTAATTCTAAACAACAACAACAACAAAGCCTTATCCCACTAGGTGGGGTCGACTACATGGATCAAACGACATCATTGTACCATATCGTGTATCATATCTGTTGTGAGTTTATTCACACGAACGTCTCCTTGATCAATGCTTGTCAAGTCCTTTAAGGACCTCTTCCTCCACATGCATATTTACCATTTGATCAACCCTTCTCAAGTGATCCTCTATTAGTCTTCTTTCCACATGTCCAAATCACCTAAGATGAGTTTCCATCATGTTTGCTACAATAGGTGTCATTCCAACTTTAACTCTCATATATTCATTCCTTATTCTATCCATATGCGTGTGACCGCTCATCCAACGAAGTATTTTCATTTCCGTCACACTAACCTTGTGTTCATGTTCACCCTTTGTTGCCCAACACTCTGACCCATACAATATAGCTGGTCTAATAATAGTACAGTAAAATTTTCCCTTTAGTTTAAAGGTACTTTTTTATCACATATAAAGCCTGAAGCACTCCACCATTTTGACCAACAGACTTGAATCTTGTGATTAACATCATCCTCTATTTCTCCATTGTCTTGAACAATACACCCAAGATATTTAAATCTCTTTACTTGTGGTATAGTATTTTCTCTAACTTTCACCTCGATGTTACTCTATCTCTTTCTCTTTCCAAACTTGCACTCCATATACTCTGTTTTAGTGCGACTTATACGCAAGTCATGCAACTATAAAGCCTGTCTCCACAAATCTAACTTCTCATTCAAATCCTCTCGTGATTTGCTCATAAGGATGATGTCATCGATAAAAAACATGCACCATGGTACATATTCTTGGATATGCTCGGTAAGAACGTCCAATACTAGTGTAAAAAGATATGGGCTTAACGATGACTCTTGGGCTAAACAATCTATCAAAATCATTTAAAATCCGAATTGAATACACGCCCCAAAATGAATAATTTTATCCTTAAAAGAGAGTTGTATTTAAGGACAAAATTATCTATTTATTTTAAGTGGAGTTAATATAACAAAAGTGGCAGTGGATATAGAAACACCCTAAAATAATTTCATTATATAAAGTAAACCTATTAAAAATGTATACATACTTTATTTTTCTGAAAATATAAAGTTTTAATATTATTTTTATAATGAGATCATAAAGCAACTTTTGTATTTCACAACTTTTTTGTGGTGAAAATATAAAATAAGGTAATGACTATTGATAAAAACTAAGATAATTAATATTTAACTTAGAATTTGAAGAATTTTATTAAAATTTAGTAAAATAATGATTATTCATGATAAAATTTAATAATATACGATCTGCAAGTTCTTAGCAAAAAATGTGAGGTACTAGAGTATAGGACATATTGA